GTTGGGGAGAATTTAGAAGTAGAATCAGCAAGAATATGAATAGTAAGTGTCACATGCACGTTGCCATTTTGTGTACATTTATCTGGAATTTATTTCTATTAACCTTTGTAGGACTAATAAGTGAGTAGATTGCCATACTCCAGGATATACAAGAAGAACATAGTAACAGCTGCACTGGTCCTATAGAATAAGGCATAATGTTCCAGAGAAATTATATACACTGATCAAAGCAGATATCAATGTAAAATATTAAAAGTTTTTAAGCAGTGTGCTGCCCATCAGAAAAATACCATGCTGAGTACCATCCAGGCATCTGCTGGAACATAGTGGAGGGTTTGGGCCTGTAATGGCCCAATCTATACTTGTCACAGGGGACGGGCATTACAGTCTGAAAACCACTGAGTGCACCATGGCTTTTTTCTGCAAAGCAAATGCAACTGTTCAAATAATGCATTGTGCCAGACAGAGGAAAGTTAGGTCATTAACTGTTTGTTTTTTTTCCCTCAGCTATTAGATATGATGGTGTTACTGTCATTGGCTACACAGCTTGGTCTCTCATGGACGGCTTTGAGTGGCTCAGAGGCTACAATGTTCGACGGGGACTGTTCTATGTTGACTTTCAAAGCCAGGCTAAAAAGTTGATGTTGAAATCTTCAGGAGTGTTCTACCAAAAACTCATACAGGACAATGGCTTCCCTCCGGTCCCAGAAAATCAGCCCATAGAAGGATATTTTCCTTGTGATTTTGCTTGGGGGATTACTGAAAATTTTCTTCAGGTAAGCCTGATGGCAGAGCAAATGAATTCTTCCAGTCTTCCTTTGGTTGCAACAAATAATATTTTTTCAATGTCTCATTGTAAAGCATGTTTTACAATTGTGCGCTAGGGTGCTTTTCTGGATGCTTATTCAGGAATTGCATTGTGGGAAGCATGCTTTATGAGCTATGCGTCTGTGTGTGTCTGTACACATATCAATTTAACCCCAAAACCCCATTAAAAATGGCCAAACTCATTCTTTCCAGGTATATTTTGGAAGACAGAGCACATAAATTAAATGTGGTGCAGAGGAAGACATACTTCTAAGTACATTGAAATTGAATGATTTGTTTGTAGCCACCATATGAAAGCATTCATGGATTTTAGGGACCATCTTCAAATTAAAATACCTTCAAGTGATAAACATTTGTTGAGTGTTTTAGAAAACTGCTACTCCAAATAAAATGCTACCTTCCAAAGTGGTTTTAGGAAACAATTCTTATAACCTATGATGCAGCAGTTTCTTGGGATCATATCCAAATAGTCAAAGCCTCCAGAACGCAATTTTTAAAAAAAGGTGAATATAGTCTTGCATAATGAGCTATAGATATCATCTACAATTAAACTAGACAAGGAGGGAGCAGCATCTTAAAATTGCTAGAATTTATTTCCAGGCTTGCCAAAGCGTCCTCAGCTGAAAATTTGGAAGGGGAGTCACCTGGATTTGTCACCAACTGAGCCAAGGTTGATCTCTTTCCTGATAAGACTTTTTCCGTGGGGGATAGGGGAAGCTTTTTTTTGTTTTCTTGTGCAAGTTGGGTAACCAGGAGATTTTCTGGAAATAGAACTCAGCTAATTTGGGTCCACAGGATTCTTTCAGCTGTAGCAAAATTGTATTGTTTCACAACTAACTTATCAGACTGTATCCTAGTTGAGAATCTTCTTTATGTGACATCTGATCAGTTGCACCGAAGAATCCAAGAAAGTCCTATTTTAATCCTTAAAAAATAGAAATAGAATATTGAGCTGCCGCTTAGGTAGGAATATCACCCACAAAATTACTGACCCAAATAGCAACAAGAGACTTTTAAAAATAGCTTCATATGTTCCAAATATTCCTTCCAAATTATTCTCCAACAGTTTGTGCTGTAGAGCTGAACTAGCAGGGCTTGTAGTTGTGGCCATGCTGGATTTATGCACATGGTTTTCAGGCAAGCTGAAGTAGTAATATGTCCATTTGGCTGAACTGTCAAGCTATTGGATCCAGTCCTTTGTTTCCAGAAAACCATAGCTGTCTTCCATTAAAATGGGACCTTTCACAAGAGGTGGAGCTGCATCTACCGAAAACCCCTTTGCCTGATTTTTGGGGATCTCTCATTCTATCCACACCTTCCCATTCAGCAAGTTCTTCTAACTCCATATAGCACTTTAAGGGGGATAGGGGGGGTGATATGAAAGGAAGAGGCAAGGAAGTTCCCTCTTGCAGCCATAGCTAAATCTGGATGCAACCCAATGACCAGAAGGCAGGTGTAGCAGTGGGAGGAAGGAGCTTATAACTTTGAGCCTCCTTCTCCCGCTCCATCTTAGGATTCGCAGGGCTAAGATATATTGTCCTTTAAGGCGATGGGCTATGGGCAGATGTTCCTGACAATCTTGGACCACATGCTCTTGCTAGCATTTTACCCAGTGCTGTCTCCCAGTATTTGCTGGCCTAACAGTTCCTTGCAGAGTGATATAAAGGAAAGCAATTGCAGAAAAAGTGAGAGGGTTACTTTAGCCTAATAGTTGTGAATGTGATATTGCCTCCCTTGTCAGTATCTTGGCATCCACTTTCCATTTTATCCTTAATTTTTATCACACAGGTGTAATATAATATTGTATGTGCAAGGGAATTCTCCCTCTCTTCCTGTAATAACCACCATGGCTTGCTTTGCTACATTTACCAGAAGGATGATGAAGGCAGGTGTGGAAAGAGGGGAAGGGCAGAAGGAACCTCTTTCAGGTTAGCCTTATCCACCTGTTTTTTCTTAAGAATTTGGTCTTGTTTGCTGCTCATTCCTGGAAGGGACTTTCACAATCCCGCCCCCTGCCCCCAGTCTTGTCTCTGATAGTGCTTCAAAACTTCAGATCTCTGATGTGATGGTCTAGGACAGGGGTCCTCAAACTTTTCGAATAGGGAGCCAGTTGAAAGGTGCCAGGGATGGGCGCAGGCTGCCAAGGCAGTGTGGGCAGGGGGCGTGGACTGGGTGGGGGGGGCGCGTGCATGCGCGCACAGAAAGGCAGGGGCATGCATGCACAGAGATCATTTTCCCCCAACGAGTCCAAAACAATCTTGCAAGCAAGCCGGTGCCTTGGGGCTGGCTTGCTCTCAAGGAGATCATTTTGGATCTGCTTGGAGAAAAAGATCTTCCAGCAAGGCGCTGGCTTGCTCGCAAGGAGATCCTTTTCTCTGGATGAGTCCAAAACTATCTCCCCCTCACTTGGAGAAAAGGATCTCCTGGCAAGGTGCTGGCTTGCTCGCAAGGAGATCCTTTTCTCCAAGGGAGCCCAAAACGATCTCCTTGCTCACAAGCTGGCACCTTGCCATGTGCACTTGTGCATGCACGCATGGTGAGCTGTGGTGAGCCAGATCCAGCCCGCGGGCCGTAGTTTGAGGACCCATGGTCTAGGATATCTGAATAGTCATATTCACCAAAGAGACTACATACAATCTTTACTGGGTTAGTTTCTGTTAAGGGCTGAAAGTCAGATTTAATTTGGATGTGAGGCCTGCAGTGTGCACACAAGTTCTGGCCCATTCACAAGTAGTGGTGGCCTCCACACAAAGGAATTCTGAGTTCTCATCTTGGCAAATGTGGTTGACTGTTGCTGGGTGTGAGGAACGATGCAATTAGTTATCCTTCATCTTTCATATCAATCAGTTTTGATAGCTCAGGATTTATGCTGAGAAATTATCTTCTGTTGTATACTAAATCAGAACATTGTCCTTAAATAATCATTTGGTCAGAATGACTATTCTATTTATTTCTAAATCATCACTGATACAAACTTCAGAGGAACTGGTGGTTGAAGAGTACATGTATGTAACCTGATCAAATCTGCTGGTATTCTTATGAGGTATGCATTTAATAATGGAATCCCCAAATGCATATTTGCTATTCTTTCCTGATTCTTTGCTGTGCCTATTGTAGGGCAGGATACTCTGCACTTGTTAGTCACTTCAGGTAGCTTGCTCTGCTTTACAACATTTGGTTCTGTGTCATATTGAAAAGCAGGAGCATCCATAATGCTCTCCATCAACTGAAGCAATATTAACCCGGCACCCAGAGACCAGCAGCAACATTTCTTTTTCTTTTCTTTTTGTCTTTGAGCAGTTCAGTAATCAGTATTTCTCTTATAGAATGAGACTAAGGGGAAGTTCTGGTTTCCATATTTGGTTGCACATATATGGAATAAATTTGCAACTTAAACTTGGTAATTTAAAATATTTGACATGTTGGCAGAAGATGCTGCTGTTCTGTATTAGTTAGAGGTAGCCCTCAAGAATGGGCATTGAATTTCTTTCAGCCTGAAGATCAAATTCCATTTCAAGAAGCCCTTGAGATCTCTGGGCAGGGATGAAGGCAAACAAGGTGAAAGTACCAAAAATATCTACCTATTTTAGCTTAAAGCCAGTAACTAAGCCTTATGAGAGGCATTTCAACTTTTTAAAATGGGGAAAAACTTTGTGAAAGCCAGGGAATCACTAAACAGTTGGTGGTTGGAGGAATGGGAAAGGGGAAGGACCTTCCAGGGAAATCCAGAGACCAGACTGGGACTTCAAGAGGGCTGGTTTTGGTCTTCTGGGCCTGAGGTTCTAGACTGCTGCTCTAAAATAGCCAAAAAAGTGTGTCAGTTTGTTATTGTCCTGAGATGTTCCATTTGTGATTGTCCTGAGATGAGAGCTGGCTTTGTGTGGCTTTGTGTGGCTTAGCTTGCCTGCTTATGAGTTTCCCTGTTAGCAGAAGCTTAATCTATTCCCCCCCTCCCCCTTTCTTTCCTTTTTAGGTAGATACTACTCGATCCCAGTTCCTTGACCCTAATGTTTACATCTGGGATATCCATCAAACCAAGAAGCTCATTAAAATTGATGGTGGCAGTGTCCCAAGCCACAGGCCGAACTGTGTCGATTTTGCTGCTATTCGGCTTCAGATTTCCTTACTTCAGGAAATGCACGTTACGCACTTTCATTTTTCACTGATGTGGGCTTCAATTCTCCCTCTAGGTAATGAGAGTTATGTTAACCACACACTCTTATCTTACTACCAGTGTTTTGTCAGTGAATTAATCCTTGTGAATATAACCCCTGTCATTGCATTATGGCAACCTGTGCCTGAAAATCAAGGACTTCCTCTTCCTCTAGCCAAAAATGGAGGATGGGAGAACCGAAAGATTGTGGAGGCCTTTGTTGAGTATGCTAGGTTTTGCTTTAAAAAACTTGGCCAGCATGTCAAATTTTGGATCACAATGAATGAACCCATTGTGAAGAACCTGACATTTAAAGCAGCCCATAATCTGCTGAAGGCCCATGCTAAAGCATGGCATCTGTATGATAAAAAATTCAGGAAGACTCAGAAGGGTAAAATATCTATTGCCTTCAGTGCCAACTGGTTTGAGCCAGCCTGCCCCTCTTCAAAAAAGGATGCCAGTGCAGCCAAGAGGGTTCTGGAATTTGACATTGGCTGGCTTGCTGATCCCATCTTTGGAACTGGAGACTATCCGGAGGCGATGCGGCAGTGGCTTCATCAAAAAAACAGCCAAGGGGCTCCTGATTTTCACTTACCTTATTTCTCGGAGGAAGAAAAAAATCTAATCTACGGTTCTTTTGACTTCTTTGCCTTGAGTCACTATGCAACATTTCTTGTGGACTCTGAAAATGAAACCCCCACAAAATATGATTATCACCTTGAAGTCCAAATGCTAAATGATATCACTTGGGTGAAATCAGCGAACAAAAACCCAGTGGTGCCCTGGGGGTTACGCAAGCTGCTCAACTGGATTAAGAATAAATATGGCAATATCCCCATTTATATCATAGCCAGTGGAATTGACGATGATCAGGATGTGGCTCAAGACAAGCTAAGAATCTATTACATAGAGAATTATATCAATGAAGCCTTAAAAGGTAAGCTTTCATGCTTTGTTTCCTGATGCATTTTCTGGAATGGTGCACATGGTAATATGCTAACTATTTATTTATTGTTAATAAAGTCCAATTCCATAAGTGTTACCGAGGCAGTAAACTGCAATTCAGATGAAAACAACAATAAAGAAAAAATGTAGAAGCAATAAAACCGTACTAAAACAGCAGCAAAGCAACTATTCACAATTTTAAAAGGCAAAATAAAAGTGGAGAACATGGAGAATGTATAGGAATAGCATGTATAGGGAGTGAAGCAGGAGGAAGTATTTTTGGGCCAGTGGAGGGTGGAGGTCAATCTGACTCGTGGGGCAGAAGATGTTCAGCAGGGCAGAATCAAGAACCTAGCTTGCCCTGCTGCCTCCGTGCCAGGGCCGAGGAGCCATTCTAGCTGGCAAAGAGATGCAGCACAGCAGTTCTTAAAATGTTACATGAGTGAAATTCAGTAGAGAAACTTCCCTGAGGCCATGAAAGACCTTTTAGAGCCACTAAATGGAAAAAACCCTTCTTTAAGCAATTCTGAGCAAAGTAAGCCAGAAAGCCTTCTTTGGCTGCCATCTGACAGTCAATTACTCAGAGTAAGTTAATCTGGACTCAAAGGGGTTTAGTTTTGAGTAGTCATATATGATTGCACAACAATTCCACACAATTTCTGGCTGAAATACTTTCTTTAAACAAGTCGAATGAATGAAGATCACCCAAGCTGCTGAAATGAGTTGATTTCTCTCTAACTGAAAGGCAAGATACAGGATCATAGCTTTTCTTTCTTAGCCAAGCAAATTTAATAATTCACACCTGGATGCAGCTTTATCAAGCTACCACACCAGGGATCTAAGTACAGACCTGCTCAACACACACAGTTCTCTACAAACTGTAATAAAGCAACCTCAACATGGCATAGCAAAGCAGCCCTTCTTTCCTCTCCCCACCTCCAAAAGCCATGCAATCTTTATTGGATAGTGAGATTTCCTGAGTCTGTCTTACTGTCAGGTTCCCACAAAGAGATCATGCACACTGCACTCCTTCTTTCTCTTCCCCCTTCCCATCAGGAAAAATAAAGTAAAATCAGCTGCTAAAATAAAAATTAACTGAGCAGCTGCTGCTAAAATAAAAAGACAGCAGGGTCACTGCACTTCTCTTTCTCCCCCAACCGCTTTTCTCTAAAAACTCAAGTAAATCTCATCTGCTCTTCTTAACTGGTTGCTTGGCTAGCAACTGAGCTGGCAAGTAATTGCAATCTTATCAAAGGAAAGCAGCCCCCTGTGCCTCCCCCTTCTCCCCAGCTCAGTAAAACAAAGTTCAGCGCCTATTGGATTGTTGTACCTGACTGAGTCTTCCTTGTTGCCTGGTTTCCACAAAAAGATCACGCATCCGTTTTTCCCTCTCATGCTTCTCATCCTTCTCTTCAAAAATAAATTCACCTGCTGAAATAGAAAAGTCAACTCTTCTTGTGGCTGCTGCTAGTATGATGATAAAAGATCAGCAGGTACATGCTCAGCACTGCACTTCTTGTTTTCTCTTCTCCCCTTCAGAGATAAAGTAAACGTCAGGTGCTCTTCTCAAAGTTGGTAGCTTGCCTCTCTCTCTCAGTTTCTTCTGCACATGGTAAGGCAAGTCTGTGGCTAGCAACCATGTGCAATGCCCCCTCTTCCTTCCTTCTGAAGCTGCAGTTGGCCAATTTTGGTCATGGGGATGCATCCACTAGTGCTAGTGATGCCCATTACAAAGCACTGGTGGAGGTGGGGACACTTTTCTGTGAGCTACACAGTGTGCTGTTGATGCCTTGACACTGTGGGGGATTGTTTCTCCAGGGCTTTCTCTGGAGAATCATCCATTCTGGCCTGCCAAAGAGCGCGTGCACAATCCAAGAAATGGCGCATAGCCTGGCCCATGTCAGAACTGGCAAGCAATTGGTGTAGTGCATGGTAACATCCAGCACAATTGTCCTGTGCTAGCAGAACAGATTCGTTAGGAACAATAACGGGAGGAACCAGGTGCATTTGCAGGGGGACTTGGGAATCATGAGACAACATCCAGGAAGAGCTTTTATTAGCATTGTTACTGTTTCACATGTGTCTGAGAAACAGCCTCCACAAGTGGGCCTGTCCTGGAGACCTTAATAACCAGATAAGAACATATATAAGAAAACCCACGCTGCATCAGACCAAAGGGCCACCCACTCCAGTACTCTGCACACACAGTGGTAAACCACTACTCACAGGATCCCTCAGGCAGGATGGGTTCAAGACCTCCTACTGCCCTGCTTCTCAGCAACTAGTGCATGCAGGCATGCAACCTTTGGAGATAGAGGAAGCACATAGCCTACCAGGCTAGCAGCCACTGATAGCCTCCTTCCTCATCAATCTGTCCAATCCCTTTTTAAAGCCATCTAGATTGGTGGATATCACCACTTCCCATGGCAACAAGTTGCATAGTTTAAACTATACACTGTGTGAAGAAATGATTCTGTATATCTGTCCTGAACTTCCCACCAATCAGCCTCATGTCATGACTTCTTTCATAACATTTCTTTCAGTGTTATGAGAGGAGAAAAATGACTCCTTCTCTACTTTCACCTTATGCTGCATTATTTTAAAAACCTCTATCATGTATATTAGATAGCCAGGCCCTGAACCATTTTGAGCTTCAAAAAGACCAACACCTTGAATCAAGGCTTAAAAACTATTGGGGACCACAACAGATCATAATACCTTGGCGCTGTTAACAGCCCAACTGCTGCATTTTGCACTAATGGAAGCGCCTGGATATTCTTCAGGAGTGTTTCTGTGTAGAACATATTGCAACAGTCCGTATTGCAACAGTCCAACAGTGACATGGCTAACTGTTTCCATTTCCAGGAATGGGCTCAGCTAGCACACTGAACAGAGCCATTGCCGTCACATAAAAATCTATGGGCAATAGATGTAGGATTAAGGAGCACCCTTTCCAGGACAGGTTGAATCGCAAGCCCTGACCTAGTCTTTGTACTTGGCCAAATGTAATCTTTGCTTGTTCACCCTTATTTAGCTTATTATTGAAGTCAGGCAACATTTGATGTTATTGGCCGCTTCCTTGGAGATAGGCGATGCAGAACCACTGCACTTTCAGATAATGAACACATTGAAAATTCAGTTTTTGCAAAGTCAGCAGGGAAGATATGCTGACGCTTATCAGAGATAGATGGAAACATTTTAGCACCTGGAGCACATACACTGTACAATACATGTGCTTACCTACATCCCATTTGGCCCCAGTGCCCTCTGGCATCTCTTACACTATCCTATGCCCCTTCTGTTTATCTGTCTATGTTTTTTTGCTTCCAGAGAGGCAAAAGTACACGAACCAAGTCAGTGCTGGAAATGCAATAATGTTTTATCTTCTGTTACTGAGAAACTGGGTCCTGTTGCAATTAGTTGCCTTAGTCACTCTCTTTCTGTATAAAAAAGTAGTTTTGTTGGAAAATCAGAAGGGTAAGGAAGAGCTGGCCACTTGGCCCCATCTGATTCCTTGTGAAGAGAAAGAGACTTCCAGCTAAAAGAGATGCAGAATGTCTGGGCATGAATCTTTTATTGCTTTCCTTTTTTAGGTAAAAGCAGGTGTGGGTTGCTGCAAATTTGAACAGGAATACTCGTGTTATGGCCTGGAAGGATGTTGTACATGGGGGTCATGATTGGTTGGGCACAACTTTGCGACTAACAGCAATAACTCATGTTATGGTGGGGGTGGGGGTGGGGGTGGGTATGCTGCAAGATTTTTGTTTGGAATGTCTTAGTGAACTGTATTAGTTATTTCAAGTTGAAATTTGGTTTTGAAGTTTTTTTGTCTAAGGCAAGCCACTCTAAGGTAAGCAAGAGAGTGTCCCGGAAGTTGAAATGTTCCTTTCCTGTTCCTGATGTTAGATGTCATCCTCCTCACTGGCCTGTTCTGTACAGAAGGTCTTTTGGAGAGATCAGGACTGGGGAACACATACCATGAGACTGAAAAACATCCTTCCCTGCAATCTATAAAGTGCTTTCAGTATCTCTAGAAATCTCCATTACAGAAAGACAGTATTCAGTTTGGGGGTGGCAGTGAGCCCAAACCAGAGCCCCATAGCATTGCCTAGCACAGCAGCAAAGGATCAGTAAAATGAGAAAGAAAAAGATGGCGGTTGTTTCTGTAACCCTCCTGAAATCTCTGTGTCCTGCCTGCAAGCTGTGAACAGCGCAGGACTCTCTTTCTAGGCTGGCTGGAGCCCTGAGCATGAGCAGTCTTGTTAGAGACTGCGGATTTAAGGCAGCATTTTCCTACAGCTGCTCCCTTGTAGGTCTCTAATCCTCATTCAGTTGCAGATGTGCCTCTCCCAATCCCTGGCAAGAGTGAGATAATAAAGTGAGATAATAGAAGCCTTTTGTTCCCAGCAATCTCTGAAAGGCATTGTTGCACATATATGTGTGAAAAACAGAGATATAGGAACAGACTTAGTGCATCTGATGATGGAATTTGATTTTATGTGTGTTTATTATGTTTTATTGTCAGGCACTCTGGGGATCCTTTTTCAGTATTCTAAAATGGGGTAGTAATATGTTTACAAAAAAACATCTCCTAAAATGCTGCACAAAGATTTCAGTGGCAGTGCAGAGTCAGTAAAAAGTAGTTGCAGGTACTGAAGGATACATGCAGCTTAAGTCAACGTGTACTTTAAGGGCATATACAACTTAGACCCTTAATTTAGTCAATAGCATGTCCCTAGCTCAGTGACAGAACATACGTTTTGCATGTGGAAGATTTCAGATTCAATCCCTCCAATTTCCAGTTGCTGGAGATTTGCCCTGTGGCAGAGTTAGGGATGTTGGAGAACTTTGTTCAGTTCATTTTTGACTTAACAAAATTGGTTAATTTCTTCAGAAATTGTTAGAAATAGGTTGAGATTTTAAAAATCAAATGTGGGAGAAAGTGGCAGGTGCATCCATCTAGAGTGAAGGCTTTAAATATTTAGTTCTTGAGACTTTGGGTCTGGGTCTGAACCCCTGCATGTTCATCCAAGTGTGTGGTGCTGAATTTGGTGGCCTCCTCCTTTCTTCTGACAGTCTCCATAACAGACAAGGACAACATAGCCTTTTCCATACCAGAAGTGGAATTTGAATGGTGGAGATGGGCGATTATTCATTTTGGTTGGGATATGATAAGAATTTACTAAAATTAATGTGTCTGCTTATAAATGGGAAAAATCAATTTTGAGAGTAAAAAGAGCTAATGTGGGAGAAAGTAAGACTGAGAGATTTAGCCATCCTCTAACATGGTACACAATACTGGTCTAGCTCCATCAGTTTGTGAGGACCCACCATTGCTGTAAATCACAGATGAAGGGAAGGTAGATATTGAGGCACTATGCAGTCAATTGTCGAGGCTATTTGACTAGCTACTATTTAACAATAGCAATGACAAAGAAAGACCTCCTCCATGCTGAGTTGAGGCATCCTGCCAAAATGAAGACAGCCTCAAAGCTTGAAAGGACTGGGATTTAAATTCCTGGACTAGAATGTTGTGACTCTGAAGCCTTCTGCAGGTGTTCACTGATTCGCTTGTAGGTCAAAGGCATGGAGGGGTCCATGGGTGTACATGTAAGCCCCACCCCCAACATCCTTGCACACTTGGCCAGCTGTTAGACCTTTGCACATTGATAAAGTGTGTACAGGGCTCTGTAAGTACATTCAACCGGATATGCTTGCAACATTTCTTTAATTGTGAACCTGCCTTATTGGCAGGCAAGTGCTTGCACTGGGCTTTCTTTGCAGCTCTACAGCATCCAGAGTGCTGCAAGTTCCCACCCTGACAAATGTATCTTGAGGTTCTAGGGGGAAGCAATGCAGGAGAGGAAATATGATGTGGTGGTTCTACTGTTGGATTGGATTGGATTGGGAGCCCTGGGTCCTTGGTCAGGAAATTTACTGACTTGTTCACACGAATGTCAAATACCTCTGTGCCGTTTCCATGACACATGGAACTTGAACTTACCATTAAGATGATCTCTTCCTGGTTACCTGGGCTGCATGGTTTCTGTGCTGCCCACTCCATCCTCCCATCCTTACCAACAATGGTAAAATGGTTTCTCTGGGTCCAGACAATTGTAGAAGCTGCAGTAGAGTGTGGAAACCATAGTACAGACTGCATTCTATCTGTGGTTTCAGTAAACTAATCCTACTACACAGGAACTCTGAAAATGGGTGTGGATGATACAATAGACCCACAATGGTAAGAATTCACCATAGGTCCTGTGTGAAGCATACCCACTCACTGTGTGACTTTTGGTCAGATGCTGACTCTCAGCTCAGTCAACCTCACAAGGTAATTATGTGGCTAAAATGGAGAGGATGAGGACCCTGTAAGTCACTCTGAGTTCCTTGCAAGAGGAAGAAAGGCTGGATAGAAATGTAATGTAGTAAGATAAAGCCTGTAGTCTGCCCAGCCATGTTTTAAGACCCTTAATTTGTTCATAATTGTCTGCCTGTGGATGAATAGTTTGCAGTGGCAGTGGAGCACTATATTAGAGATTCTTTCTTTGTTGGTAGGAATGAATATAAATGCAAAATCTAAGGTATACACACAACAATGTATAGAGCAGGTGTTGCAATAAACCGCCAGTAATCTGTTTTTCTTTCTTTTGTGTTTTATTTTGCAGCCTACACACTGGATAATGTTAACCTCCGAGGCTATTTCATCTATTCTTTCAGTGATAGGGGTGATTCACGATCGTACGGCCTCTATCGTTACGTGATCAACCAGTATGAGCCAAAGCCTTCCCTGATGCATTATAGACAGATAATTGACAACAACACCTTCCGTGGCCTGGAAACTGCTTCCCCGCATTGCCCAACAGAGCTTACCCTCTGCCCAGAATGTGACTTTTTCCAACCCAGAATATCTTTACTGGCATTTATAGCATTTATCTTGTTTGCTTTCATCGTTACTGTGATTTTGATCACTCATTACTCCAAGAAGATTGATAGAAGGCATAAACACGGCTTTCCTCTTGCTTGTTGCCCTTCACCTGCACTAGCTGTGGGAGCTTGGAAGTAATTATGCACCATGCTGTGATTACTGTTGCACTATGAAAGTATTTATGCTGACTGATACTGTGGTGCATTAAAAAAGAAAATGGACTGTGTCCATGGAGTTTGTGTGACTATTTTTGGTATGTGCACTTTGGTTTGCAGGCTGCCTTGAGTAGCTGGTGGTATTAGCACCCCTCCAATAATCTGCAGTAGCTGTTATCAATTGTGTTGCAGTACTTAGATCAGAGTATATGAATAACATTTCCTTTCCTGTTTTTCTGCTGCATAATCTCTAGGTGGCACTGCGGTCTAGAAAAATAGCACAAATGCATAGGAGATCATACTTAATTTTGCTTCTACCATTAAATACTGCATGTTGTAATATGAAGTGCTTTTGTTCAGTTAACCAGCCCTGCCTTCTTTCAGTATAATACTTACCCTCTGTCTGCTTTTCTGGCACCTGTAGCCCCAACATTAAGTGTCCAGTGAGCATGCTCAGTCCTCAGTGGCTTGAATTTGAGTCTTCTCCCAACCATTTAGGCTTATTTCATATTTTTTTAGATCTGCACATTTTCCCTTGGTAGTATATTTTCTTGCCCCAAGAACCACTTTTTCATTTAGCTCAAGGATTATAATTCATCTCATGAAAATATGAAACTACAGTATACCTCCGTGAAGGTGCGGTTCAGCGTTCGCGGCTTCAGTCCTTCGCAGGATTTTTCTCCAAGTGAGTCCAAGCCGATCTCCTTGCAAGTCAGCCAGCTCCTTGCAAGCCGTGGCTTACTCACAAGAAGATAATTTCCTCCGAGTTTGGACTCGCTGGGAGAAAACGATCTCTGGGCACACCCGCCCTTGCCCCTGCCTCGCCACGCGTGCACACACACCCTCCAGCCCAGCCCGTGGTTTGTTATTGTTTTATATAGTACCATTCATTTACATTTACATGAGGAGATAAGTCTGCATTATGGAAAGGACAGAGTAAGAAAAAATGAATGTAAGTCAAGGGGGTTCCTAGATTTGCAGTATGTGCCAACTTAAGCCTCTACATATGAAAGTCTTAAATTAGAATAGCAACAGATAATGGTTTTCTGAAGGCAGGATTGTTGCTTGTTGCTTGCATATTAATCTCTCTTTCAGGTTTTGCACCAAATTCGCGGGTTTTCACAATTCGCGGGTGCTTTAAGAACGTAACCCCCACGAATTTCGGGGGACTACTGTATTCACTTAGGCCATGGGTAGGCAAAGTGCACCCCTTCAAATGTTGTTGGATTACAACTCCCAAAATCTCTCTCTATTGTCCATGCTGTCTTGAGCTAATGGAAGTTGCAGTAGCTTATGGAGGCTGATGCTTTCCCCAACCCTGGTAGACATACAGTGCCTTATGGATAGATGTGGTCAATTGCAAATCTTTGGCTGCTAAATTCTTGGGATAAAACAAACTTTCATCCAGCTTGAGTCTCTTAGGGCACTATGCAGTCACCCTGCACACAACAGAGAGCTAAGCAAGTAACCAGAAATGAACAAAATGCTCATTTTTGGAATGGGGTCAGCCAGTGGAACTTGCAAAAGGAAGCTCTATTGAACTTTCCTGATTTGGAAATGAGCACTTGCATTTGTGTTATAGGTGTTGCTCTTTGAACTTGTGATTTGTCATTGATGGTAGTTTATGGGGGTTTAAGAGGATATGGCCAGCTTCCAGGGCCTCTTCTGTGTTTTTGAAGCACTTTTGTAAGATGTGTCTGGGGGAATTGAAGTTTGAAATGTGAAGTGTCACTGTACAAATTGGCTATGACACCATGACACCTAGAGATCATGTAGCCTTTCACAGAAGGGCAGAGAGTCAAAATGCTGAAAAAATGAATGTAGAGGAGCTGGCCGTAACCCCACAAAGAATACTAATTAGAAGCCTCAGTAAAGTGGCAGGTAAAAAGCTTCACCTAGAAAAGCCCTTAGATGCTGCCTTTTTTTTCTGATAAGACTGGTCATTTATTCAATGAACAAACAGACTCTGATGCAAACAGAAAGGACAGAATGATGCTTCTTCTGGACATTAAACTACCTCTTTTTAAATTCATCTACAAAGAAGGATATTGAAGGCAGGAAAATACCTTTCCCCTTGGCCTCATAGCATTATATGGTGAGAGCAGTCTTGGATTGAAGTTAGTAGATGACAGAGCAGCTATAGTGATAATAAACACCTGCATTCATGTCTAGGATAGCTTTGTGACCAACAAGGAGTTGCCAAAGATGCAATTATGGCATTCTAGTGATTTTTTTATTTATTTTATTTATTTAGGAGACTTCTATGCCGCCCCATTCGCCGAAGCCTCGGGGTGGCTCACATCCATAAATAAACTTCCATAGAATAATATAAATTAACAGTATAAATTAAGTTGCCCTGGCCAAAGAATAAAATGAATAAATACTATTAACAATTAAAGACCGCAGAGAAACACCGCAGAGAAAGCCCTCCTCCGAGTACTCACCCTCCTAATTTCCTTCACGGAGGGTTCCCGGAGAAGGGCCTCTCCCGCAGATCTCAAGGGGCGGCCGGGCATATATGGACGTAAGCGCTCCTTCAGGTAACCAGGACCCAAGCCGTTTAGGGCTTTATCAGTCATCACCAACACCTTGAATTGGGCCCGGACTTCAATGGGAAGCCAGTGAAGCTGACGGAGGACTGGAGTCATGTGAACATAATGCCCAGTCGCCGTCAGCAGCCTGGCAACTCTATTTTGAACCAATTGAAGTATCTGGACTGTCTTCAAGGGTAGCCCCACATAGAGCGCATTACAGAAGTCAAGTCGGGAAGTCACCGCGTGTGTCACTGTCACCAGGCAGTCGTACTCCAGGTAGGGTGTTGATTTATGCATATAAGAGGAGGCAGCTGAAAGCACCATTCAGGTTTACCTCCTCTTATCTGCCCATGTTATGGCCACATTATGGGACTGTGACCAATCTCTGGTTTTCTGTATCTGACCTGAAGGGATGAGGCACTTGGAGGAAAGCCGTAAAAGTGCTTTTCTGACAGTGGGGCTGGACTCACACAATAAAGCCAAGTGACAGCTTGGAGGATTTAAAAGGCAGCAAGAACAGAACAATTACTCTGAGGATTGCCTGGGTGTTTCCAGCTAACAAATCAGATTTCATCATTGACCATTTCTGTCCTTGAAGTAGGGAGCTGCATTAAAGCAAGAAAAATGAGCAACTAGCAACCAATCGCCAAAGCATACTGAAACCTATTTTTCCAGGGGGAAATCCAAAGGATTGCAGTGTTTCCAGAGAGGGAATATCTATTTTTTCTTTTCCCATTAATGTTCCTTGGCACTTCGTATTCTCGGCTCCGGCCTAATTAAAGCTTCAGTCCTATACAAGTTTAAAGAGAAGAAAAAGGCATTCAACTGCCAGTATGCCCCAGTCTGGCTCACTGGGTCAGACTGGCATTTGTAGGCCATTTTTTCTATCTAGACATGCATAGGAGAGTGCTCTTAATGCAACCCAAAACACATTTTCAAGGAGTCTCTTTCCAGGTAAACTTGCATTGGCTTCTTCTGTAAACAAAATGTTTTACCATCTCCATCTTACAAATGCACCATTGAGCTTTTCATCATATCTGCAAGCCTCTGTTTCTCCCCATCCCCTTTCCAGTTTGGTGTTCTTAACTTGGCATCCAGAATGAAAGAAATAGTTCTGGGAAAGCTTGCTCATTATTTCTGATGTTTTATTGGGTCTTTGAAAATCTATTACCTTATTTTTCTATATCAGTTCAAGAATTAGAGCTGAAGTAGACTGATGTGGTAGATAAAAATGAGCGAAGGGAAGACCATTTTTTCTCTCCATGACTTATGAAGCAGTGTGACAGGTTTGTATCTAGGTCAAAAATGTTACCTATTGTTTTAGAATCTCTTTGTGTACAGAATCTTCAAAGATGCATTTGGAAACCTGCAATGTATGAGTTTCCTATGCAAACTGCACAACACTCATACATTTCCATGAGATCTGTACAGTGGTTTTAACTACCCAAATAGAATATTTTAAAATCAGTGTTCCAGTATAGACAAACAACTGGAAAGTTTGTCTCTTCTAGTAATAAACACCTTTGTTACTATATACACTATAAATTTTGCAGAATGAATCTGTATGTTTGTGAAATAGGTTGATGATATTTGCAAGTAAAAGAATGTTTCCTTTTAAATAGAACACACACACACACACACACACACACACACACACACACACACACACACAGAGAGAGAGAGAGAGAGAATAAGGATTATATTTTAGTCTCAAATGTTCAACAATTTGCACTATCCTGTAGTAGTCATACTGTTATAGACCAGTCAGACAGGTTCAATTATAGGGAGGTATAGGAATGGAATAAAATAATTAAAAATCTGGATTGATGATCCACATCTGGGGAGAACATAGTTATAAATGTTTGAGTGTAGTTTTGTTGCTTACCTGCTTGCCATGTGGCAAGGTAATATTGAAATTTAGAAATATTTAATATGTTCAGAATATGAAGTGAGTATCTCAGTTTAATTGTAATGAACAAGCATTTATCTAAAGTTTAGATCTTAGCTTATGGTTCAGATTAGGCTTTCTGTGTGTTGGAAAATAGCCACATTCACATGGAATAGTGTATTTGTATTGCACGTAATTGCTCCTACAATATAGCTGAGGTTGTGAGGCACATGTGGCTCCCCCTCCTCTGAGAGGGGCTCAGAACAGATGGCTGGGGGCTCTCCGTGCTGTCTCCTAGTAACTGTTGCCTGAGGTGGCTCCACCGAACAGTAAGGGCATCTCTGATCCAGGTAGTTGTGGGTTCTGCTAAATGCTTGGGCAAACTAACAAACAAACCCCTGGGGCATTGAATAGGAATACTATAAAAAAAACCAGGCAGTTTTCAATGGGAAAAAAATCACTGAGCATTTCCAATATATTCAGTCACTCTGCCAGCATTCATATAATTCAGTTCTCCACCAACTGTGAAGAGCACTTTCCTGCTATTTCATTTCTGTGAATGCTGATTTTGCACTTTTCTGTAAGAGCATCCCATAAAAAATGGGTTAGATAAATGAATGGTGCAACAAGATTCTATTTTTTAAATAAACTGGAATGTATAATAAAATAAGAGAGATGTATAAATATTATCTGATTGATTTTTTTAAAATTACAAATCTGCATGTACTATGAGAAACTACATTGTGCCTTTTAAATGTCTGATGAAATGTACATTATTGCCATTTGCCAGGAAACTTTAAATCTAAAATGT